CGTTTCTGTGTGGGGACCTGGTTGGTCTTCTGACTTTTACCTTCTTTGAGCCGTACCGTGACGCTTCTTGATTTCTTCTTGCTTGAGGTGAATTCCTGGGATCGCTGGTGGGTCTGGGAAACTGGTGGTGGGCAGGGGATGCATGAGGAGTGTTTCTGTCAATGTGAATTTATTCAGATCTGCTGGCTTCCTGGTCCACAGACCTTTCTGATCTCCCCCCACCCCCACCCCGGCACTGAGCTAAGTATCTTCCCTTACTCTGCTCCCGTGTTCCTGCTGTCCAACAGTGATGGCCTGAGCACCCACCAAGACACCCCGCTCAGCTGCCCACCTGCAGATTCACTAAAGTTCTCTAGACTCTCACTTGAATTTGTACTGTCATCTGCATCCTCATGGCCCCATTCTCTCTTGTTTTCTGGACCACTGTCCCAGCCTCCCCTCTGGTCCTCCTGCCTCCAGCTCCTTCCCACCAGCCTGGTCTCACACCAGTCCCCGGTGGATCTCCCTCACACAGACTCTCTGCTGAAAATCCTTCCACCTACAACATCAAATCCAGCCTCAAGTCAGATGTATGGCACCCTTCCTGGATCTCCAAGCTTGAGCCCTCCCAATCTTTCTATGGCAGGAAAGGCCCTTCTATGTCTTGGGCTTCACCCTTGACTAGAGTTTTTCGGATGTTTACTGAGCCAGTGATGGAATCTCAGAAAACTTTCATCAACTCCAGTCTTCCCCTCGGACTGTAAGGTCCTTGAGGGCAGGTGTGTTTCAGATCCAGCTCATCTCTAGGTCCTCAGCCCCCAGCCCACGGCTTGGCAATAAGGGACACGTAGGAAGTGTTTGAATTGAAAGAAATAGGGAAGGGTTGGCCCACCTTCAGCCAGGAACTGGTGGATCAGGGGTCCAGCACATTGCTGAATACCAAGAACAGGTTGAAGGGCTGTGGGGGTTGGGCCGTGAGGAGATCCCGGTGTTCCCGAGTGAGCAGGGAGCGGCTGCCGGCTGTCCACTGGAGGATGCGGTGCACGCAAAGCTCTAAGGAGACCCGGGGCAGAGTGGAGAACGAGCAAGCTGTGGGGAGGACAGGGCGGGGTTTGAATCCTGACTGCACCACTCACGTGGGGCAAGTGACTTCACCTCTATCGAGCTCTAATTTTTTTTTTTTTTTTTTTTT